GGTGTCCAAGGCCAGGCTGGATGGGGCTTTGGGCAACCTGGGCTGGTGGGAGGTGTCCCTGCCCATGGCAGGGGGGTGGGACTGGGTGGGCTTTAAGGTCCCTTCCAACACAAACCATAATTCTGTGATTTAAGATCCTCAAAAAACAGCTTAGTCAACTCCATATACATATATATGAGGGGACACTCAAGAAACAAGAGTGTCCCCTCCCACAGGGTTTGATGAGAATCCCATGGACGGAGTGGTATTTCACACTTCATTCCTTTTCTTATTCCCCTCTTCTCTCCCTCCCATTTATGAGCAGCGTTACTTGGCTGTCAATACTCCACTAACAGATTTACTCCTCACCTGAAGCACTGACCCAAAAATAAAATCGCTGTTTCTAAATGTTACATTCAACACTGACTACAGCTACCCATGTGAGCATACAAAACAGATGTGGCAGAAAATGTCTGAACTTCACCGTGTTCACTTTATAAGACAGATGTTCACCTTCGGGCATGTCAAAAGGGAGACTCAATAAAAGGGAGACTCAATAGCAAGTATCCACTAACAGCCAGGTGAGTCCCGATGGACTAAAACACAGCGTGGGGTGGCTGCTGCAGAGCCAGAGCAGCACCCAGCAAAGATGTGCCCACACAACCATAAGCGAGCGCTCACCCAGAACTGGAATGTGTTAAGTTTTAGACAAAAGCCCATACGCACACAACCCGAGGAACACATACCCATCTGACTCAGCGTCTAATGATGACAATTCCTAGGCATGTGCATCCCGCAAACCGAGTCATAAATCCCTTAATCACAGGTCAAAAGATGTACCAACGTCTGCATCGACGGGATCAGGAAAAGAGGGCTGAAGCATCTGTTGTTTTTTTTTTTTATTTTATTTTAAACTGGAGACGTCAGCTCCTGCGGAAGGGCAGCAGCCCTCAGAAAGCTGCATCACCAGGGACTTAGCAGTGACCTCTAGGACCTGCATCCAGAGAAGAGAAAAAACACACGCTCAAAACTGACTTTAAAAGTCACTTATTTTTTTATGGCATGCAAGGAAATAAAGACTAGTTTGCATCAGTCCCTGAGACAGCTGGAACAAGCTCTACTCCAAGCCTGATGCACTCTTGATAGCGTATTTACCTAGGACAGGCGACGCATTCTCAGCAGGCACTGGCAAAGAACTCGCTGCAATAACTCAGGATTTGTAAGAAGCTGCCTCTCAACTGAACTGCAGTTTCCATTCAGGTGGAGATACAGTTGTCAAACTAAAAGTAAACCAGACAACTGCAGGCATTCTCAAAGCATGTTTAAAAAATACCGCTATCCGACACACCCAGCGGGTTTCCTCCTCATTAACACGGGTAAGAACTGAAGACACGTGACGACCCAGGATGCAAATAGAAAGAAATCTTCTAATGCACCTGAAGAAGTTAGGAGTCTTTACCTTCCACTGCTCTCAGAAGCAAAGAGCTACATCTTCAGTCATATAAGCATCTCCAATGATCTGGTCTCATAGGTCAGGAATTAAATCTACAACTACCGGAGTGTAAAATAGGAGAAAGGGTTGGGTGTTAGAGGGAGGAGGGGGAAAAGAACAAGACAGCCACAAATAAGGTACATATTACTAACCACAGATAAGGTACTTTTGATTTGCATTTGAACGCTACTCTTTAGCCAAGGCAAGCAGATCTACTTGTGCAAGGGAAACTGTACCATTAAGACAAAGAAAAAACCTAGCCCTTCCTCTCTGCGAAGACTGCAGAGATTGTTAATATTTATGAAGCCTGAAGTGCCTTCAAAGACTTCTTACTTCATTTCCTTATGTCATACCAAAAAGCAGCACTAACTCATTCATTTTAAGGTAAGATCACCACTGAAATCTTACTGGTTTAATAAATTTTGACCTCCCAGGAGGAGGCTCAGCATCTTTGCTTTGCCCCCCCACATCCATACGACTGACAACGACCATGAGATGAAAAGAGAAAACTTGCATTTTCCAGAGACTTTAGAGATCAAAACACATAAATCCCAACATCACCAGCCAAAAGCTAGGTTTAACGGCTGTACCACCATGCACAGGCTATTTCATAGATCAGCTCACAAACGTGCAAGGCCTGGATGGTGGCAGTGAGAGAATCTCTTTGGAAAGGCCCTGATGGAGCAAGACTGTCAGAAGCTTTTCCTCCAGTCAAACCCTGTGTCACGAAAACAACGCATTAGAGGAAGGCATTTCTGCTTCTGCAGCATGGATCCTGCCGTGCAGGCAGCATTTAACCCAGAAAAATAAATCCATGTAGGGAAGAAAAGGAACCAGTGTTGCAGAATAAAGCTAGGAAGTTGTAAACATTATCTGGGCCAGGCACAGCCAGGTTTGGACAAGAGGGCCTGGAATTCAGGATGGCAGATTCTCTGCACCTAGTACTGGGGTCTTCTGGTAACTAGCCAGAGCTCTGGAAACTCTGAAGTTGGAGTAACACTGATAAGCCTGACAAATACCAGGGGGAGGAGAAGGAGGAAGAGATCTGGAGCAGCCACTGAATAGCTACTTAGCTGCAACCAAAAATTAAAAATAATTAAAAAAAAAAAATCAGCAAGGTCCTCAGGCATTGCTAAATAGTATTTATTTTCCATACCCGTAAGAAAGAAAACATCACAAAATGTGATCTGTTACGTCTTAAATAAAAATACAGTCACCACAGATCTTGTAAAGGAACCATCTGCCACACAAAACACCGCCTCATATTCTCCAGAATTGCAGTGACTGATTCAAAACGAAATGGTGATTTTTCCATGATCACGTGCCACGAGATGGGGTCACTGCTAATTCTCCAGCAGATCTGTTGTCGCTTTGGAGGTTAAACGGTTAATGTTCCTTCTTAGTTTTGGAGTCTCTGTATTGAAGAGTGAGTGCTGAAGCGCCAAATGATGCCGAAGACACCGCACACATACGGAGCACTACACACAGCATTTCCTATTCCAGAGGTTTATCAACCTAACAGCAACACCAATCATTTTTTAAACACTGCAGAAGCTTCCTTACCAAACCCAAATCCATTTTCTCCCCCCCAGGCCTGCTATTCTCCACCAACATCCAGTGCCTGCCATCCCGATATCACACATACGCACTCTCATGAGGAACTCATGGTCGGTTTCCACAAGCCCTGAGCATCGCAAGCCGGGAGGAGGGGAAGGGGCAGTGCCCAGGAGCTGCCCCTGCTCGGCCAAGAGGCTGAACATCCGCGGGGAGCTCACACCTAGCCAGGGCTGCCCCAGCCCCTTGCGCATCCCCCCTCAGCAGGGCTTTCTCCTCCGAAATCGGGTTTCCCTGAGGAGCCAGGAGAGGCTTTTCCCAGCTGCTGCCCTTAATTCCTCCCTCCCCCACAGGCATTTACGTCACCAGGCCTCAGCGATGCCGCCACGGCGGGCAGGCTGGCGCGGGCGAGGACAGCGGCGAGAGCCTGGGTGCCACCTTCACCCGGCCCCGAGGGGAGCCACGGGTGCACCCACCCCGCAGCGGCACCCCAACCCCTGCAGCTGGCACCCCCCGACCCGCGGGGAAGAACGGGGCTCGGGAGCTCAAATTAAACACAACCCATCGGCCCAACTGCCACCCAGGTTGGTCCTACCTGCCGCCGAGCACAACCACGTCCGAGAGGTGAGCGGTGGAGCTGGACGCACCGAGCGCCTCGTCCCGGCTCCAGCCGGGCATCGCAGCCCCAAGCCACCCCTGTTAGGGTGGAGAAAGTGAGCCCAGCAAGCTTGAGGCCACCAGCAGGAGAAACAGTGGGACCTCGCTCGGACTTTGGGGGATTTCTGTGCCATCTGATAGCCCCACACGGTGAGTTAATCTCCTATTTTATCCATCCCGCAACCGGCAGGTTAAAGATCCAGTAGCAGCTACAGAAGACGACGGGCAAGGACTAAGCAAGCCCTCCCTTCTGAATGACTAGATATGACATTGAAAAAAATAAAAATAAAGAAGGTTTAAGGCAGCTCACATCCCTAATTCTGAGGGACAACACTACTCGTCGCACAGTCCAAATTAAGGCACGATGCTGTCGGTAACGTGGAGCACTGGGATCCCCTCTTGTTATGTATTTCCCCTCCCCACCCTATCTAACCCATTATTGGGAACGCAAAGCCCAAGCACCAGCCCAGCATTTATGCCACGTTGGTACAAGCCTAACACAGCCACCCACCCCAAAACCACGTGATAACGAAGCACGGCACGGAAATGAGGCAAAAAAGGCTGCTGTTCCCCCGACCTTGCCCTGTAGGTGCATCAAAGCCCTGCAACAACCCAGGGGAGCGGGCAGGAGGCCTGGGCTGGATGCACAGAGCTACAGGGCCCTCCTGAAGGGCTGGCAGCTTGCTCCAGAAACCAGCCCTTACCCCAGGCTCTCCCACCGCACTGCCCCCGTTACCTCGCTGGCTACTTGGGGCGAGCGTGTGGCTACTGCCCTACGGCCAGGCGGGCACACAACACCTCCGATAGGCACAAGCAGGCTGCGGGGTGGCCGAGCGAGGTCCGATGGGGTCACCCCCACCCCAAGCCACCATCACGCCCACCCCAACGACCCCAAGCCCGAGCCACCCCCACGGGGGCTGCGTTCGCTGCGTGCTCGGGGGGCCGGGAACAAAAGCCACGGAGCCGGCTGCGGGCAGGAGGCGCCCGGCCGAGCTGCAGCCGCCTCTCCCCGCTCCGCCCCGCGGCACTCACCCGGCTCGGAAATCGGAGCAAACTCTCATCCACGCTCCCCGCCGAGCCCAGGCCCGCAGAGCCGCTGGGCGCCCCCCCGGCTGGGTGCGCCCGCTCAGCCCCCGGCCCTGCCCGGGCGGCAGCAGGTGCCCGTCCTCCTCCTCCTCCTCCTCCTCCTCCTCTTCCCTTTCTTCCTCCTCCTCCTCCTCCTCCGTGCCCAGCTCCCCGCGCAGCCGCCGCTCGCCGGGGCCGCGGCGGGAGCCCGCAGAGGAGGCGGGGGCGGGGGCGGGGGCGGGGGCGGGCGGGGCGCTCAGCCCGGCCCAGGGGCGGCCGCAAGGGGCGGCGAGCCCGGCCCCGGCCCCGGCCCCGGCCCGCAGCACTGGCCCCGCCGCACAGCCGGCCCCACCGCCACCAGCACCGCCGCTACGAGGCCGGCCGGTGCTGGAGGCTCGTCCCCGGAGCTGGCTCGGCGGAGGAGAGCGGCCGGCCGGCAGGCAAGGTGCTGCGGGGGGCGGCGGGGCTGGGGATGGGATGGGATGGGATGGGGTGGGCTGGACCCGGTGCACGAAGCCCGCATGGGGTCTGTGGGGTCCAGGGGGGCGTGCTGGGAACGGCTGGGAGGTGTGGAGGAGGCAGTGAGGGGCACAGCCCTGCTGGGTGTGCATCCCTGCTGGGTGTGCATCACTGCTGGGTGTACATCAGTGCTGGGTGTCCAGCCCTCCTGGGTGCCCACAGCACTGCAGGGTGTCCAGCCCTGCTCAGCATGCACCACTTCTGCATCACCGCTGTCTTCCCATTCACCCCTCTCCCCTTCCACATCCACGACAGGCGAGGAGCTGCGAGGAGCCCTTCTCATTCACCATCCCTCCTCACACAGCCCATCACCTGCGTCCCAAGACGCAGGGAATGCGGAGCCATCACCATGCAGCATCATTCACATACACAGTTGTGTAAGGGGTTTGGCTCGGCCTCACTGCATGCCTCCAGCAGAAAGGGAGCGAGCCCCCCCCGTGTCCTGTAGGGTGCCCCCCTGCAGGCACCCTAAGGGGTGAGAGCTCGGTGCGTTTGCACTGCGGGTTTTGCTGGGCGCAGGGCGCTGGCACTGGGCGCCCTTCGCCCGTCTCGCATCATCCTGTGCTCGTGCGGTGCCTCCGTAACTTTCCCCGAGATGGGGAATTTATGAATCGAGGGATGGGGGAGTGGATCCGTGGGGAGGCTGAGTCAGATCGTGAAAAAGCGACCGCCAAGAGAGGGGGTGCGATCGCCTGCCGCATTTACAAACACGGTTTCATTCATCCCCATATGCTGCTGCTGTTACTACTAATAAAGCCCTGGTGTCTCAGGCTGCTGCTGCCCCGGGAGCACTGTTTGATCTTCCCGGGGTTTTGCTCTATAGCCTGCACAGCGTTTTTGTCATAGCGTGCTCTTTTCCCGGTGAGGTTGTGATTACACTGAACCCATGCTAATCACAGGAGGAATTTGATGATATGAATGTGCTTCCCACACCCTCCTCTTTTGTTCCTATTATTTGTGGTGCAAAGGAGTGACGGTTTGGGTACCAGCAGCAATTTTTCCCTTTGTACTGGCAAGATTTGCTAATTATGAAAGCAAAACAAGCCTTTTCCCTGAGCGTGTGCCCTTCTTGCCTTCCTATTTCTTTCCTCAAGCTGCTAATGATACCCAGCTCCTACATGGTGATTGTGGAGCTGCAGGAAATCTCGATTCGTCTGCTGGAATATTTCTGCCGAAGCCTCTAGATGCAAAGGGAGCCAGAGAGCAAGGTCTGCTTCGGGCTGAATGGTGTCTAGGGCTTTATTCCCTGACAGGGAGGTGTAACTGCAGGGTGTACATTCATTAATTTAATCCAACATAGGGAAGGAAGAAGGATTGCAGGGGAAAAAAGAAATTTCTTAAAGTTCCAAATGTGAGATCGAAGTGGGAATTTCAGTGACCTTCGTGGTTCCTATTTTAGGCAAAAGGCCACAACCCAGCAGCATGGTACCGTTTGTCTTCTCCCAGGCCTCGTCGTTTCTCTCCTTGGTTTTACCTTTCACCTTGGTTTTGCCTTTCACTTCCCAGGGCGTGACTCTGGGGCAGCCTCACCTCTTCCCTGCGGCTCCAGAACCGGTCTTTTGGGTGGTGATTTTTCCTCCAGCTGCTCATTTCTCATCTCAGCTGGGCCAGGCCTGTCTTTCTTACTGCGACCCTCCATGTCTCTCTTCCCTACGTCTTATTTATCATACAATATTTCTGTCTTGCCAAACATCCTACTGGTTATTCTACCTTCCCCCTTCTCTCTGCTTTTTGTCCACCCATGCCTTTTCTCTCCTTTTTGTCCCATTTCATGTATCCTTCCCTCCCATCTTTTTTTTCCTCCTCTGGCCTGTTTTCAATACCTTATCTTGCTCTCTTCTCCCTGAAATCTCTCTCCAGCCCTTACTTTGTCTTCCTCTTTACATTTTTCCCCCAGCACTGTTCCTTTGTTCATTGTCCCTTCTCCGATCTCCCATTTACATACAGAGATGCCTACAGACACGTATGTGTGCTCCACTCCAGATCTTCCACTTCTCCAGCCGAAACAAAGAAATGACTCATGCCGATAGTCCCCAGCCTATTGCATCTCTCTCCCAGGGCTGAAACACTCTGCTCTTTGCCCTTCCTCAAATACACCTTATCAGCTGGACTGAAGAATTAACGACAGTGGGAAATGTTCCCGAATTCAGAAGTGAACTTGGGAAGGCAGCTTGTTCGGGCTGAGCTGTAAGCAGGAGCCCGAGGAACTAATGGAATTTTCTTCGTGTTTCTAAATCTGGTTTCAGTAATGAAAAAATCTATAATATTAAATAAGGGATGCTGCTGTCAATTTAAATTTGTCTTTGAAACCTGGACTGACCCAAAATAAGACCAAAAGATGCTTTTCTTTTTTTTTTTCTTTTTTTTTTCCCCAATCATCTCATTCTATGCATGTATTAATCCAATTTTGTGCAGCTATTTTGGGAGGGAAGTGCTTTTTTTCCTCACCAGGGCTGAGATCTGCCCCTGGAAAGGGCTCTGTGTGGGGCGGTGAGACTGGGATCTTGGCTCGCCAGCTTCCCTTTCTTCTGGAGCCAGGGAGAGAGGAGGGCAATGTGACTGCAGGATCATAGGCGTTGGGTGGGAGACAGAAGAATAGATGCATTAGCCAAAAATGCTATTTGAACCTCAGGTGGGGGGGGGGTGGAGTTGTTTAACAATATTTCTCCTTGACTTTCACTACAGACAGCATCCTGGGGATCAAGGGCAAGCGTTAGATGTTGCTCTTGAAATAGGGCTCTTAATATGGGAAAATCTGATTTATTAATTAAACTATTTTTTTTTTCTCTTTCAAAAAGCATAACACTAGCTGGCTGGAACGAACACAGCTCCATCCCACGGATCCCACCTCCGCCTTCTGGCAGCTTACCTGACTCATAAAGAGAGCGGGGGATTTTATATGCCACCTACCTCAACTCAACATTTCCCTTTGTGGTGAGAGTTAATCACCACGCTTGTCATATTATTGCACCGACCCTCCTGAAGATACGAGCTGTTGGGGGTGATCATTTATCTTTCGAACCATCCCGAAAGCTTCTTGTAGAATAGTTGTAGGGTTTTTTTTTCTGAGTTCAGTGAGAATACATTGGTGGTCCATCGCAGTAAGTTTTTGTGGGCTAATTGTTAAAAATGGCAATTTATTTGGTTTACGCCAGGATCAGGGAAGAGAGAGTTTCCACTTGCAGAGGACTTGACTGATATGAGATGTGGAGAGTTCAGATGTGTCAGTGGAAGGGCAGGTCCTTCCCCAGGGTAATCCCGGCAGGAGGAAGAAGCTGTGGTGTTGTAGCCATGATGATGAAGGATTTTTGTTTGGAGAGCGAAGGTGATGTTTGTATTAGATCAACTGCCAGAGTTGGAAAAATGGACATGCTTTTGGGCACAAAATCTTTCCATATAACCCATTTGTATAACCTATAAAGCCCTCTCACTTGTGAGGAAAGCAATTATGTGTAGGAGACTGATCTTTGCCAGCAGACAGTACTGCAGGGAAGAAGGCATATAGATAGCAATGAGAACAAGCTGCAAAGGTGGCAGTACAATGAATACAGTCTGTGCAGGAGGCAATGGAAGAAAGGGGAGGGAGAACTGAAAATGCACCTTCAGCAGGATTGTTTAGCATTACAAAGAGGATGTGAATTAGCCTAGAAGGTGAGAGGAAGCTTGAGCAGAAAAGCAAGTGAGGTTTTTGCAAAAGAAGTTGCTGAAATGAGATACAGGAAGGCCAGAGAAGAAGGAACAGTTGGGACCACTCTGGATTTCGATGCATTAAGAAAAATCTTAGTGTGAAGAAGTGCCAGAAAAAGCAAGGAGACAAAAAGAGTCTCCTTGTTCGTGCGTCACAAGGTCAGGCAAGATGCCTGATGAAGGAACAGGAATACCAAAAGAAGTGAACAGTTGACAAACGTGGATGAAGGAAGGGCGAGGATGTTGCTAAAATATCAGAAGAGAGGGAGAAGTGGCACCTTGGCCTCTGTGGAACCTGGAAAATGACCGGGCATCAAGTGGGGTGCTGCAAGACAGGAGGCAGTGAGCATCCTGGGGCAGGCAACACGAGAGCATCCCATGGGCACTGAGCCCTCTGACCACCCCAGTATAAACACAGATTATTTCCGTTCTTTATGTGTGTAAGGCTTAAAATGCACTGCAGATGCAGAGCTTTGTCTGGAAGGTAGGAATGCTGCAGCTGGCTCCCCTTTCCTGGCCTCTCCACCTCCCTACTCCTACACCAAAATTAATTCCCCTCTTCTATCCTCTCATGCACGGTGGGTCCTCAACCCAGCTCCGATCATTTTCCTTATTGTTTTTGCCTGATTAACAACTAGGGCAGAACTCAAGGGCTCAGGAGTCCCCCATAAAGGTGTAGTTCTTGTAACCAAGGCATTAATGCAATGCTCAGAGAGGCACCAGCAGCAAGGAGAAGAGCAGAGGGCGAGCGGTTCACTGGAGGAAGAATCAGCTTGGGAAACCACAGCCGTGGGGAAACTAAAGGTGTGGAAGCCTCAGGAAGAAAACGAGCGTAGGAGGATGGAACCAGGGCTGGTTAAAAATAACAGCATGGTACAGATAATGTGACATTTTAAACCTGCTGCCTTTGAAAGCCCCTTTGTGTTCTGAAATGCAAGTCTTCATCGAGTTATGCTAATTACTGCTTACCAGCCAGGACCGCTGGCATCTGGGGTGATCACTTTGCCCACCAGCCCCTGTTTTCTTCGCTAGTGGTTGCCACTTCAGCAGGGAGCTCTTTGCATTCTTACTTGACACAAATAGTGATGTATCCCTAATTAGGCTTTGATTTCTTTGGGAGATGTCCACCTTTTCCAGCTCGAAGTGCCTAACACACTGACTCTACTTGATAATACTGACCACTACGTTAGAGCTGAATTAAAACACCACTAAAACACTACTCACACACAGGTTGTATGG